GATTCATTTTAAAAAAAAAAAGTAGCAGACCTTCAATAATTATGTTGTGCTAGCTGTCCTCGCTGACTTGGAACGTTGAACAGCAGTAACTATTCTCATTGATTTGTGAGCGCCATAATTCATTCATTATCCTTTTTTTTTTTTTTACAGATTGTGTTGATTATTTAATATTATTTTAACTAAAAATATTTTGCAAAGATTGGTTAAGAATTTTCATTTTGACATATTAATTTGAAAACGAGACCGGTCATAAATGTAAAGACGCAAGGCTCTCAAGTATTAATAATTAGTAAGTGTGATATAAGTTCTTATATTAATGCATAATACGAGTGTTAATTACATATGTAAATGAGAATTTATTATATGCAATTAACATTTATGAGGACGATTTGGTAATTTTTTATTACACTTATTGATTCAAAAAGACTCCACATCTTTATATTTATTGGGCATCTCATTTCTCAATCAATTTGTCAAATTAGGATTTTTAATCAATTTTCCAAAATATTTTTAATAATTAATAAACAAACGTGAATATGCGTTATGAGTTGTAACTAATAGGAGAGAAATTTGGAAAAGCACAATATTTATAACGTATTAAAGACAAAAGTATACTTTTACTCTCGACTTGAAAAAAAATTAGTTTCAAATCCATGTGGTTTGAGGACATCCTTGTTCCTCTTAGAAAAAGATCAAAATAACCAGTAACACAATTAACAAAAGATACTAATATTAAGATTTTTAAAATTAACAAAACATTTTTAAATACTAATTATTAAATTTAATATTAAAAAATAACCGTAACCGGCATAAAAAAGATTTACCTTTTGATACTAACAATGTTAGAAATAAAGGATCTAGAAGATGTTTTATAAAATTGATAGACTAGATTAAAATATTATATAAAGTTAATTAAAAGATCAAATATATACTTTTACAATATTAGGAGAAATATACCCCTCCGGTCCTTAATATAAGACCCAATTCTTGTGTTGGTTTTGGTCCTAAATATAAAACCCATTTTTCATATTTATCAATTTTCTCTAAATTACCCCTATGGATACTCCCTTAACCATAATCAAGTAGAAGAAGGAGAGGGGTATTAAAAAAGATGATTATAGTGTTTTAGGAAAAATATGTCACTTTTCTTATGATTAACTAACTTACCTAACTTCCTTAATCTAATCAAATTAGTTAAATGGGTCTTATATTAAGGACTGGAGGAGTAAACATTTTTTAACTATGTATAAGTTGGTTAAGAATATTTTATAGCATGGAAAAAGGGTATTCTATACGAGAAAATTCTGATGCGAGGGTATTGTTTTACTAGCTGGACATTCTTAATTCCATCGAAGTTTTGGCTGTGAGAGATCGATTCGGCGACTCAACATTGGGTGACTTCAGCGTCCCCCAATGAAATTTGTACTGTTTAAATACAATTTTAACAATTTAGATATAAAAATTTTAACTAATAATTTTTTAACAGAAATTATTTTTTTAAAAAAATTGAAAGTTAAAATATTATCTTTTAGATATTCTGTACACATTAGAATAATTTTTAGAAGAATAAAAAATAAAAATAAATTTTAATCTAAAGTAAATCTAGACAGTGCATAATGATAACGATTTCTCAATACTTATCAGTCCAGTTAGCACGGAAAGTCGGAAACACATTTACTCCTTCGGACAGCTCTTGGGACCTTCCCATTTTCTATTCTGGGAACGAAGATTCTCAGCCTCCAATCTCCATTTTTAGGTGCCACGGAAGCATGAGAAAATATTTCTATTTGAATAAATCAATGAAATAAAAATATCAGATAAAGTACATCTTCATAAAACCCGGAAAAATTCTTGGAAAATAAAAGTCCTTCTATCCTTTACATAGAAGCTAATTAATTAATTTGAGTAACTTAAAAATATTAGTTAAATTAGTTGATATGATATTTTTTTTTCTAAAATACCTTAAGCATTTTCTTTAATTCCCTCCCTTCATCTCTTAGTTGATTATTACTGAAAAAATATTAATAAGGTTAATTTAAAAAATAATAATAAACATATGAAATAGGTCTTCACTTCCTCCGATCCTAAATATAAGAGCTAGTTGACTAATTTGAATAGATTAAGAAAATAAGTTAAGTTAATTATTTGTAATAAATAAGTGTTGTCTTTTCTAAAATATCCTTACTAATCAAGTGTATTGGCTAGAAATATTATTATTGGAAGGATTATCTTGAAAAAATGCATAAATATTGAGAAACAAAGTGAATTGACGTCTCATATTTAAGAACAAAATAAAAATTAGACGGGATCTTATATTAAGAACCGAAAATAGTTACATATAAGACAAAATTAACTTTTTAATTAGGTCCTATGTTAAGTAAATAAATAATATAACAATTGTGGGTTCAATTATTTGATTCATTCGTTTCCAAAAACAAAAAATCCAACTTCTTTTCAACCTTACTTCAAAAGCTATCGTCGAGTACTCTTCACACTTACATATATCCACCTATTTTTAGTGGTTGATTGTCCCTTAGTTGAATTTTAATTACTCGCACGCCTTACATGACATGACACATGTTCAAACCATTTTAGTATTATTTAACATTTTAATCAATTCTAAACATGAGGCTTGGCATGATATAATGATTAATATCATCGCGCAACATTTATTATAGTTACATGTCTCCATCCCATTATCTAATCCGATCAACCATGTGGCATTGTCGGTCCCACATGGTTCGTGGAAATTTTCTTATTTCAGCTTAAATATTTAATAAAAAAGCAACTCTATTTGCTGTGAGAAATACTAAAATAATAAATATATGAAGAAATTTAATTATAAACACGCATGCAAGGCTGGAGCTTTTGAAGAAATACCCCCTCCTACTAATAAGTGACAGTCTATATATTAGTTAACAGGTCGATCATTAATTAAGCTCTCTCTCTCTCTCTCTCTCTCTCTTAATAATTGCACTCATTCTAATTTTCTAAAAGTACATTTAAAGAAAAATTAGTGAAAATTCCTGTTAAAAATTGTATTGGTAAGATATGTCTGATAAATTTTTATACACAGAAATGCAAAACTCTGATTTAGATACTTCTCACTAGTAAAATTTTTAACGGGAGACTTGTTCTCAATTTTTCTTGCATTGAATTATGAAAAATTCTATTTTTTTAGGGTTTCCCCTTTTCTAAACAAGGAAAAAGTCAACCATTTTTTATTTAAAGACAAATTACAATTAATAACTTAACTACATTTTTTTTTTTCAGTTTCGGTAAAGTGATGAGGGACTGATGATCTATATATAAATTCAATTTTTTTGTTAGGCTTTTTCTAGATCAATTTTGATGAACCGATCCAGAAAATAATTTTTCTAAATTGGTTGTACAATGAGTTTGGAAAACGATAAACTTTTTAAATTGCCTTATCTAAATGGGTTTGATCGATATTCGTTTTAGAAAGTCACTTCTTATTAGATCAGAAAAGTCTTGTTTGTAGTAGTGAATAATCTATATATGAAGAACCGGAAGGAGTAGTTTAAATGAGGGGCTTGGGGTGATGAGGGAGGAGAGGGGGAAAGAATAGTTGTAATAATAATGAGAATCATATCATGTGGTCTATTTTTCTGGTAAAACTAGTGCAGGAGATCTAAACTGGAGGGAGAGGTTAGTGAAAATGAAAGTGGGGGAAATTAAATTGAATAGGGTGGAAGGGGAAGGAGGGAACTAAAAAGTAGGCTAATTGAATGAGATATCCACCTCCACCTAACTCCGGCCCCTCCTCCTTCAAAACGACACCTACTTATTCGTTATAACCCCACTCCACTTTTCCCCCTCCTCCTTCATTTATTTCTATTTCATTATTTAACCCTCCTTCAACGTCAACAAACAACAATCCAATGCTAGCCCCTTTGTATATTGTTTCTTCTTTTCTTTTCTTTTCTTTTTTTATCATTTACCACTCTTTCTTTCCCATCATAAATATATAACCTTAATAACTAGTCAGTTCTTTATAAAAAAAATTATGCTAATCATTTTCTTAAAATACCCATTCTTTTCATCATTTACATTAAAAACTATCCTTATGATTGTGATTACAATCAGTAAATAAGGATAAAGGTTTTTTTTTTTTTTTTTGCGATTAAGAGCAAAACAAACTCCAATAATTGGCTAATATATTTAGGATTGGAGGATATTAATTACTTGCGAGCCTTGTCTAGCTCTCATCTATTCAATGTCACTCCCCCATCAACTCCTTAATTAAGTTAAATTTAATTGATCTTCATTCATTAATAATTAAAAAGCATTTACTCTCATCAATTTCATTTTACTCTTTTAGTCCCATTTATAAGTTACTTCCAATATGTTTTACACAGACAAAAAACAATCTTAAACTTCATTAACTTTTATTTAAAATTCAATAATTTTTTAACTTTAACTCTATTTAATATGCATTATGCTTCATGTAAACAAAGCTAAGACAATAATAAATAAAGGATGAAATTGTATATTTATATAAAAAAATTTCTCTTAGTATCTTAAAAATAGAATTAAAAAATATTTTTTCTCTCTACTCTGTAAATAGGACAAAAGGAGCACGTCTTTATTTAGTTCTTAACTAACTAGCTAGCCGCCTCACTTTAGCTGTCAACTTTTAGCTCAGAGAAATCGTGTACTTATTTTCATCTAGGAAGATTACATCGACCTAACCGCTCTGAAATCAAGTTGAAAGCAGTTTTTGAACTAACACACGCACACATCAAGCTACTTGCATAATTCCAAGTTTAAAAATGGAGCTAAATGTGAATCAAATATTTAGATGAGATAAAACAATCACTTAAAAATCTTGATTCCATAGCCATGATCCATTCCTATGAGAGAAGTTTTCATTTTTCAATATATAACATGTTATGAATATGTTAAATTTTCTTCACACGAGATAACAACATACAAAAACGTCACCATCTTCTTTCCTCTCCTTTTAAATCCCCCTTCCCTTCTCTCTCTCACCGTGACAATCTCAAAGCCAGCGAGCTTCCTTATTCAGACTCTTCTTTCTTTTCTTCTTCCTCCCCCTCCTACCCATAACTCCATAGAGCTAGCCTACCCTCATTTTGCCTTCTCCTTAATTCTCCTCCGCCATGGTCGCCATGGAAGCTTTTCGTACTTTCCAACCCATCTCAAAATGCAACACTCATGAACGACAAAACCAAACCGTCGTCTCCGACTTAGACGGCACGCTTCTTGTGTCGCGGAGTGCTTTTCCTTATTACATGCTCATCGCTATCGAAGCCGGAAGCTTCCTCCGAGGACTCCTCCTCCTTGTTTCAGTCCCCTTTGTGTATTTCACGTACTTGTTCGTCTCCGAAACCGTGGCTATCAAAACTCTTATCTTCATCACCTTCGCCGGACTCAAAACCAGAGACGTGGAGCTGGCGTCACGGTCGGTGTTGCCCAAGTTCTACGCCGAAGACGTCCACCCGGAGACATGGCGGGTGTTCAACTCGTTCGGGAAGAGATATATCTTGACGGCGAGTCCGAGGTTGATGGTGGAGCCATTTGCTAAGACGTTTCTTGAGGTTGATAAGGTTATTGGGACAGAACTGAGAGCCACAGAATCTGGGAAGACATTGACAGGGCTTGTTAAGGAACCAGGAGTACTGGTTGGTGCGCACAAGAAAGCAGCCGTTGTGAAAGAATTTGGATCTGAATTACCAGATTTGGGACTGGGAGACAGTGAATCAGATTATGACTTCATGTCAATTTGCAAGGTTTGTAATCACTGTCTATATTTGTCTCTGGTTAATATCTTAACAAGAACTGTGCACTTTAAACACAGTTTGAGAAACTATGAGTCCACATTAAAATATTCTATATAAAAAAAATCACAAAAAAAAAACAGAAAATAAGAAATAAAAATGGAACCCAAGTCTCTTTACAATGTTATTATTAGATATATAGGTATTCCTCTCTTACAGTTATATGTTATTTGTTATCACTTTTGAAAGATTTCATGCATACTTGGTGGATATTATATTAATAGAGTCGTCCTATATGAATTTTATCAGTCACAGAGGGATATTTTGAGTAGATTATTTAAACTACTACTGTGGATCCGTATGTTTGTGCATAATCTGAAAGTTACATGTTAAAATTTTCACATTATATAAATATATATGGATGTTCAAGCTTGACTAGAGAATTAACTTAAATAGGAAAATAATTAAAGCTCAGGTGCGTACATACAGCGGCGAATAAGATTGAAGTATTTAAATTGAAACTGATGAATTGGTGTTTGGTGAGAGCATAAATGTATAGCACATGACATGACATGTCTTTTATCATATGTACAGGGAAGGAGGCTTCTATTGCCGTGTCTGTTCTGTAAATAGATTCCTTTCGTTTCACTATAACCCCTTAATCTCCTCAATCCCTTCTTTAATTTTAGGGCCACTTATCTGTATATCATTCAAATGGCCCCTCCATGTTCTGTGGTCCATTTCATATACATACACATACATATACAATGTGTGTGTGTGTATATATATATATATATATATATATATTCAAAGTCATGGTCCCTCCCAGCCCCGGCCCCACTCGATCCGGAAGGTTACTTGAAATTAGGGACTTTAATTATAAGGTTTTGGACTCTCCAACTCTAACTAGTTTTCTCAAGGACTTGCGCTGATTATAATACCTCAGCTCATGCACATATTGATATTCCTTTGTATCAATTACATATATGTTGTGTGTTTTACACTTACGCAGGAAGGATTTTTAGTGCCAAGAACAAAGTGTGAGCCACTAGCCCGAAACAAACTTTTAAGTCCCATTATCTTCCACGACGGTCGTTTTGCTCAGAGGCCAACCCCTCTGATAGCTCTCTTGACCTTCCTATGGCTGCCCATTGGCATCGTACTCTCAATCCTTAGGGTATACCTCAATGTCCGATTACCAGAAAGATTCGCTTGGTACAACTACAAGCTTCTTGGTATCAGAGTCATCGTTAAGGGCAACCCACCCCCTGCTCCAAAGAAAGGCCAAAGTGGTGTTCTTTTCGTCTCCAACCACCGTACGGTGCTCGACCCTGTGGTTACTGCGGTTGCTCTCAGGAGAAAAATCAGCTGTGTCACCTACAGCATAAGCAGGTTTACTGAAATAGTGTCTCCAATCAAAACCGTGCCTTTGTCTAGAGAAAGACAAAGAGATGCAGAAAATATAAAAAGACTGCTTCAAGAAGGTGACCTAATGATTTGCCCTGAAGGAACCACATGTAGGGAACCATTTTTGTTAAGGTTCAGTGCCCTTTTTGCTGAATTAACTGATAGAATCGTTCCTGTGGCTATCAACACGAAGCAGACTGTGTTTAATGGGACCACGGTTCGTGGGCATAAGCTATTGGATCCTTACTTTGTGTTCATGAACCCTATGCCTACTTATGAGATCACTTTTCTGAACCAGCTTCCTGTTGAGCTCACGTGTAAGGGAGGCAAGTCCAGTTTTGAAGTTGCCAATTATATTCAAAGGGTTCTTGCTGGGACGCTTGGATTTGAGTGTACGAGCCTGACAAGGAAAGATAAGTATGCCATGCTTGCTGGAACAGATGGGCGGGTTCCATCAAAGAAGGAGAAGGAGAAAGAGAAGGAGAATGATAAGAAGGCTTAATTGAAAAGAAAAGTGTTCCATCAACCCTTTGGATTATGAATTTATTGCCAATTTGTTTCTGAATATTTAGGACTACGGATATATTCATATAGCAATAAACATGCTTATTGATCGTGACGGAATCACGGAATATTCACAATCTGTTTGAATGTATATGTATATATATACGATTTTTTTTTTTCAAATAGTTCAAAGCATATATAAACTTGCTGGTAAGAAAAAAAAAGTATGTGTACGCTCTTTTTGATTGTCGGGTTAATTCTTGAAATCTTGCGCGTTACTGGCTCTAAGAATTATATATATATATATATATATATATAAAATTCAGGCACATATATATATATATATATAATTAAGATTGAGTTTATGTGTGGAGTTGTAGGACATCTAGGTATAGGATATTATTATAGATATAAATTTATTTAGTTAAGCTAAGTGAATCTAATTACAATTAATTTGGGGATGGTAGAATAATGAAGGCGGATATTTTCCATTCTTTTTCTTCCTTCCAAGTTTTTATTTATACATAAAAGTGGTGCTTTCAAAAGTATTTACTAATATTTATTGCAACAGAGCAATCGCACTAATTAATAAAAAGATTTAAATTCACGTCTTGTAAGTATGAGTTGTATATCTTCGAGAATTAAAAAGATTTTGGTTGGATATATATTTACTTGTTATGAATATGATAAAAGTCAATTGCGTTGTTGTCTGTCCAGTGGGACCAATTAACATTGAATTAAACTTGTGGCCAGAGAGCCGTTTAGACAGGTGAAAGTAGTGCAGTGTGGGGACTCTACTATACACGGACTTGGCTGTATATTACGTATTACTTCTTCTCTTTCCAATATCCCATGTTTCACCTAATACTACCTCCTATCTCCAATTTAGTTAACTAATTTGAGTAAATTAAATAAGTTTGTTAAATTAGTTATTCATGGGTGTGGTCTTCCTAGAAGTACTCTTCATATTCCTAATCATGTATATTAATTAGAACTATCATTTAATGAAACTTTTAACATATGAAATCAATACAAGGACTACTTTAAAAAAAAAAAAGATCAATATAAGAGATAAAATAAATTAGAATCTTATATTTAAGACTAAATTAAATGTTAAATTAGCATTTATATTAAGAACTGGATGAAGTGATAAGCTTCAAAGCAGCAACCTCGTCGGAATATGTGTGCTTGTTACAAGGGAAAATTGGTATAAAAGATAAAAGACAAATTTATTTGACAGAAAAGACTAAAAGAGTATAGTGTTAAAGATGTCTTGTAGAATTTTGAAATCACTTTGCAGAATTCGACTCGTTTAAAGATGTTTACGTCTTTGATAATAAGGGTGGCCTTTTGATTTCTTATACCATTTTTTTCCATCGTTATAATGTGAAGATAAATAAAAAGGGAAAACTAATTACTTCTCGGATCCTAAAGATAAGACTTATCTTGTAGTACAAATTGTGTTATAAAATGGGTTTTATATTTGGGATTGGAAGAATAATTTTTTTATTTACTTTTTCACTGAGTCATCTCTACATTATTTCTTTTTAAGAAAATTATTTCTGACAATGAAATTAAGATACATGTTGGTCCCTTGATATTGATATGCGCAGATTGTACGTTACATAGCAATAATATTGAGGGTGTCATGAATTTAATGGTGATGCTGGTTGTTGGCTTCACTTAAAGTTCTAAATGTAAACCTGCACTGGCTCTTTCTACCAGAAAATATTCTCTATTTATCTCTGTTTTCTTAACCTTTTTGTCTTCGATTGATTGTTTAGTGCATATAACTTTGAGAATATTCCCCCCCTCCCATATAGGTTCTGTATTTAATTTCACATTGTAAACTATTAAATAAAAATTGTGATTTTGGTATAAACACGTACACTAAAAATCATGATTTTTGACATCAAAATAAACACGCACGGGATGTTAATTTCTCTCACTACTTGCTTGTAATATGTAAATATAATTTATACAGGTATTGATGTAATTCCATAACAGTGACGATTCTGTTTGAACACTACATGAAGAACTAAGCATGGAGCATATAAGCACAACAAAGTTGCCCTAGAGTTTTTGATTATGAAATTTTTATAGAACTAAAGCAGAAAATGATGCAAAAGAATCATATGAAATTTTTCAGCAGAAAGTCAAATGTTGGTTCATTACACCGTAAAGGATTAGTTTCTTTTGCTAGACTCATTCTCCCCCTGTGTTAATACTCCTTGAATTTTGAGCAGTACAATCTGATAAATCAACAAATTAAATTGATTTTGGGCTCACAGTGTCTGGGCTTCTAAAGAAAAGTATGAATGGAACTTAATCCAGAAGCCCATTTGGTGTTATATTGTGGGCCTCAAACAAGAGCAAACATAATGCCCAATTAATGCTGAGATCATAGCTCATAATAGAAGAGCCAACCAATGAAATTGTATTTCAGGTTGATTTTATTGAATGGAGAAACTATTAAGAAGTTTATGTTTATATGATTACGTTAATTAAGTTGATTTAATTAATTAGAGCCTAATGTGGATCTGAAAACTGATGGATACATATAGGATATCCAAAATTATGGATATATATTTATATTAAGTTGATTTGTTTCAAAATTGCTTTCTATTTTCCATAGTTATTATAATTATTTCTTTAAAAATTATTTTGGAATTCAGATTTAAGTGAATTATTCGAAACAATATAGTAATTGCTGAAACACCAATTCGCCGCTCTAAGTATATTTTTCACACCAGTCTATGCATTAAAATAACATATAAAATTGAGGAAGAATAACAAATAATTTTAACACAACTTAATTTGTGGTGTTTTGAAACCACAGTTAAGCGTTAATTCTCTTTCCTGGGCATGATCAAGAATATTATTCTCGTTCACCTCAGTAAAACCAAATTTTGGATGAGTTAATGTATAGCAGTATTTTCCCCTTCTACTATCCCATCAACGTCTTAAACCTCAATAAACACTTCAGTTAATTTGTGAATTTTATTTTATTTGTCTATATATATTCATCAAAATTTTATCTCTAAATTTCACTTATAATTAATAAATATTTAATATGTTTCAACCAAAACATGTGTGTGTGTGTGTGTGTGTGTAATTAACACGATGAAATTCTTTTAGTATGATATAGCAAAAGTTTAATTTATTTTATATAAATTATATTTGGTCACTTATTACTTTAATCTCTTTTTCTTTTTACTTTCTTCTTTTAAATATATCGTGTAATATCAATGCCCCCATAAAGTTAGAGGAAACTAATTAAACTATTCATGATTATGAAAATCCAAATATTATGGAATGTCAAGTCTTAATTAATTAAGCTAGCAGATCCTGGTGAGCTGATTCACTTATGGTTAATCAGGCTTTGTTGATGATTGAGAATTCCATGAATACTTTAGGTGAGGCAGTTTTTAAGCTGCCCGGTCCTAATAATAAATTATTGAAAGAGAATGTTAACTACACATATGTGTTTTTATCTCTCTCTCTCTCCCTCCCCATATATATATATATATATATATATATATATAGCCAGATATATAAATACAACTTTTTTCGTAGCTTAAACAATGTGAACTTCTCATTGTGTATGAAGGGAAAAAAAAGAGTAAAACAAAAGAGAGAGAATTCAAACATCTCCAAACTATAACTTATAAAAAAGGACAAATCAGTTTAAGAAAATTATAACTTCAAAAAAAAAAAATCAAAGGAAGCATTGTTTTTCCTTTTAGCAGTTTTTTTTTTTGGTGACAAGTAGTTCTTGTTTTTTTATTTTTTTTGCTCAGATTTCTTTTAGTAGTTATGCTAATTATCTATATTTATGAATACAACTTATTTTGGACTTTCTCAAAAGTATGCCAAAAATTCTTTTATATATAATAAAACACTTTTTATGAAGATGCGCAGTTGTTTCCAACTTTCCATTAAAATTTAAAAGTTATAATAATAAATTAAATATTAATAATCCCTATTGTCGTGTGATACTCATCCTTATTTATTAGGTGTTCCCAAAATTTTTGAACAATGCGATCATTATCTTTTTTGAAACTAGTTTATGCCCTCATCTATGACGAACTATTTAGATTTCATATCGATTGTTCAGATTTAATTTTCTGTACTGTTGCTTTTTAAATTTTTTTTAGGGGTATAGAATCCAAAATAAAAATGATGTTTTAATTATTAGTTTATTAAAAATATTTTTTATTTCAAATTTATCAGTTAAAAATTTTAAATTTCAATATATTTAAATAACGTAGATCTCATCACAGCATCATCATCATACTCATCGTTGCAGTTAGCAGGCAAACTATATTTTAAATTGTGCCTCCGGCCCTCCCTCCCTTCTCCAGTTCTCCACTGTCCCACATCATTACAATCCTTCGAGCCAGCAACACATATCGTCATCTTCTTCTCTGTCTGCCATGGTATCCCGGGAAGCCTTCTGTCGTTTCCAACCCATCTCAAAATGCAGCACACTTGAACGGCAGAACCAAACCGTCGTTTCCGACTTAGACGGCACGCTTCTCGTGTCGCGAAGCGCTTTCCCTTACTACATGCTCGTCGCTATCGAAGCCGGAAGCTTCCTCCGAGGACTCCTTCTTCTTGCTTCATTCCCCTTTGTGTATTTCACCTACTTGTTCGTCTCTGAAACTGTGGCAATCAAAACTCTCATCTTCATCACCTTCGCCGGACTCAAGACCAGAGATGTGGAGCTCGTGTCGAGGTCAGTGTTGCCCAAGTTCTACGCCGACGACGTCCACCCAGAGACTTGGTGGGTGTTCAATTCGTTCGGGAAGAGGTACATCGTGACGGCGAGTCCAAGGTTGATGGTGGAGCCATTTGCTAAGACGCTTCTTGGGGCAGATAAGGTTGTAGGTACAGAGCTGAAAGTCACGAAATCTGGGAGGACGCTGACAGGACTCGTTAAGGAATCTGCAGGAGTACTGGTTGGTGAACATAAGAAATTAGCTCTTGTCGAGGAATTTGGATCTGAATTACCAGATTTGGGACTGGGAGACAGTGAATCTGACTTTGACTTCATGTCAATTTGCAAGGTATGTACGCATAATCTGACTGTTCTTTCTTTTGACAATATTAATTTCCTATCATTCAAATGGCCCTTCTATATACTCTGGTCTATTTAACCATATATATACGCGTGT